TCTACACAGATTATTGATTCTACTCACTACGCACACACAGACACAGAACTTGAATTACATTTCACCATTTGTTTTCTGTGAACAAGCCAAGTTACAAACCAACACTCTGTTAGTTATACAAATAACACACAACTAAATTAACTGTATGCTTTTCTGAATCAACATTCTATTTCAACATAGAACTTTGAACATTCTATTGAAGAAACATTCTTAATTACATTTTCTTATTCAAGCTAACAGATAAAGGGAAACTACTTTCTTTTCCTTAATAGTCACGCATTACAAAATTGTTTTGTATTTGTTGATTTTAATATATATTTTATCGTTGAAACAAAAATCATTTTCTCATTGATTTTCCTTGATTCAATAATGTATAAATGTTAAATGCTCTTCAACACGCAGCCATATTAATATCTTCAACATAGTACACAAGCAGCATTTACAACTTGAATCAATTACAACCATATTAAAATATTCCTTAATAAATAAATATATTTCATATCTGAATTTTACAAATCCTCCAAAAACGTTTTAGAAAATAAAGACTGTGAAACACTACATTCTTAAAAAAAAAAAATTGTTTTCAGTGTAACTCTCAAATTTTAAGAGTTTTATATGAAAATTTTCATATTTATTAGAAATAGAATATAATATTTAGCTATCAATAATTAAGGAAGCCTAGCTCAAAGATATGTACTGAAAATCATCTATTAAAAGTAAGTAATTATGGCATACTTTTTTATATATTAAAAGCATCGTATATTTCTTTTGTTTTAATAAATCTTACTTATTATAAAACCCAGGTTGTGTGTGTGTGTATCTGTACGTTTATATATTAGATCGGATTTCCTACATTTTTTAACCGATTTCAACAAAACTTCACAGGACTATGTAAAATTACCTTATGGTGGTTCTGACAGTGCCAAAAATTGGAAAAACACAATTGTTTATGCACGAAATCAATTTGAAAACATGATTAAGAGGCATCGCTTTTTTGAATGAAAGGGGGACAACTCATAATGAGTTATACTTATTATAAACCCAGGTTGTTTGTGTGTGTGTGTGTGTGTGTTCATTTATATATGGATTGGATTTCCTACATTTTCAACTGATTTCAACAAAACTTTACTTTTTTTTGGCAGGTAGTGTTTCTTATTGTCTTGTACACTTTTTTTCTTTATTTTTACATTCAGAATGCTTTAAAAATTCCATTTACAAGACAATTGTTTATAATAAAATTCTATTCAATTGGTAGACTCATAACGATTGAAAACAATGTTTTTGTTTGAGTTTGACCATTTCGTAAAAAAAAAAAACAAAAAAAAAATACTAATTAAGACATGCGTGTCCGTCAACCTTAAACAATAATCTTTGTCAATTTTATTTTTCAGTCTTTATGATGGTCGATACTTGATCTATCTCTTACTGTTACATCCCCGGGCAACGCCGGGCTCTACTGCTAGTTGTAAATAAAGCAAGATATGATCATTTGTTATTTATTATCAGTAAAAGGTTTTATCCTATAAATTAATAACTGAACATTTTAATTTCAATAATCATGTTACACTGATCATAATGTGCTTTGTAACATAAAACATTTGGAGTGCATAAATGCATCACAACTATTGTTGAGAGAGTCAACAGTTGAATCTGTTTGCTGCATTACATTATAGATATTAGATTATTTGAATGTTGTAAGGTCCAAAAAATAATTTGTCTACCATAATAAAAGGATAATCTATTAAAAACAAAATTATTTATCTCTGAATAATATATTGATTATTGGAAAAAATTGTTTAACCTCGTTTACTGCAAGGAGATTATAATGAGAGTCATAACAAAATTTGAGTTTTCAGTTTATTTCTTTTAATTCATTAGTTTTATTAAGTTTATTAATTTAATTAAATTTATTAATTAAGTTCATTATACATTAAGAATTGGACAAAGTCCGACAATTTATTAAAGACAGTTTTATGTTTAACATTCTTTTTTATAGATAAATTTATATAGGCGTATCAAATGCTTAAACAAATGACGTCATACATTAAAAATATCTTTAATAAATTGTCGGACTTTTCAACTACAAAAATAAAACAAGATCATTGTTTACATTGATATACCATGACAGTTATGAGTGTTTTGAGATTCATAAAGATTGAAGTTTATAAGCAGTAAATTCAACCTTGCCTACATAACGCTTCTTTGTGGCCGGAGTCGGTAAAAGCATTTTAAAACGTAAATAGCGGTTCCGTATAGGATGCAGGTTCGAATCCTGTCAAAGGACGAATATTTCAGTGGCTAAAAAGATGGACATTCAGGTCTGATAAATGTTAGTTAATACTGTTTTATAAACAGAAACATTTTATTTAAATACTTGTATCTAAAAAAAGAATGTTAAACATAAAAAATGTCTTTAATAAGTTAATTATGTAATAAAAGGAAAAAGTCAAGATGAATTGACAAGTTCAAAGAGATTTCCTGGATCTTAATGATTTCTCATCTCAGAAATATAACTATTTTATTTTGCCTCCAAGCAGTGGTGTGTAATGGTTGGGGGGGACGTTGTCCCCGGGCGGCACATCCGATGGAGTATATTATTTTTGTTGCAACAAAGGCAGCAATAATGAAAAAGAAACATAACTTTTGGTTTTTATTTAGCAAATACACCTAAAATTAGATATTAAAAATAAATAAAATAGTTTTCATTTTAGTTTTAAAATGTCTATATTTGTCTGCTGGTACCTATTTAAATCCATCCTAGGTAAGACAATAAACTACATCCAACAGCAAGGCTTCTGACCAGGATGCTTTCAGGAGCTGGTGTTCCCAGGTCCATCTAGACCTGGGGTGGTAGCACCTGTTAGGGTCCCAGCTATGAGTAAATAGCTAACCTCCAAATTGGGGTCAAAATACTATGAAAATATAAAAATAGGTTTTAAACCCAGAATACTTTGTAAAAATTATTACCAGCAATAAATTTTTGAAGAAAAATTATTACCAGCAATACAATTTTTAAAAAAATATTACCAGCAATACATTTTTTGAAAAACAAAAATTACCAGTGTGGCAGACTTCATCACATTAATTTAACTTATATTAGGAAACCAAACTGACATGAAGAAAAAAGATAAGTCAAAGACATCATTACACATAAAATTTGTATTTATCAAGATGTACAAACAAGGATGTGAAAGAATGCATGCAATGAGTAAAACAAGAGTTGTCTCTCTTTAACTATTATTTGTATTCCAAAGTTCACTGAAAGAAAGAAAGTTTGTGATAGTTTCTGGTAATAAATGTTTTCAACTGTTTTGCTGTGTAAAGAAAACATTATGTGAGTGTAAGGAATATTCAGCATGTGAGTGGTGGTGTGAGTGAGAAGATTGGCGCATGGTTTCAACTGTCATGGATTCCTTTGGCAGCTGAAATCTCATTAATTATCTAAGAATATTTCTTGCTTATATAGGTAATCATTGGCTTCGAATCGCTGCACGAGAAGAATTATTCTTCACGTGCAGACAATCTGATTGGTTGGCATTGACCAATCAGTGAGCGAGTTTTGGGAAGACTCAAGAAAGCTTCTGGGATCCGTTTCTCCCAAAAGTACACAAAATTGACTACATAAAAATAGAGTGATTACAAAATTGTTGCATTGCTGTGATTTGTAAATTGTCTATTAAAAAGTAGTGTTGATTTATTATCCAATGAATGTTTGTCATTGTATGATTTGTATTTGTGCAAGTATGTATGTATGTATGTGTGTCATGTAGATCGTCACACCAGCAATAAAAATTTCGTCGGCATTAAATAACTCATTATGGTTGATATGCTGTAAAACAAAACAAACCAAACCAAACCTACTTAAATCCAAAGTATCTTACATCTGTAAGAAGTCTAAGATTTTGGTGTCAGTTCTTTCATTTTCATATTTGTAGACTGGTAGTGAAAAGAAAGTTCAAAAGATATAAAGGGTGGGCGCAAAGATAGAATGTCATAAAATTGAACACTACTTTAAAAAAATTGTTGGTTATTATTGAAACTAATAGTTACATTTTCATTCTTGTATAGTCAACTTCTTTCATATTAAAAACTGAAAAACCAAAGAAAATTTGATATCAATATAAATGTAAGTATTTTTTCCTTTTTTTGAAATTTAAAACGCGTTTTAAGAAAAAAATAAAAATCAATTGCTCGCTATTTCTTTTTTTTATTAAACTTTGTTTTATATTTAAATTAAAATTATATTTTTTTTTTAATGTAATGTGAAATTTTAAATTATTTTCTTTGTAGAAGTAGAGATCTTTCTTTCAATTGTAGGGGCCGTTGGATTTTCTCGCCCAAATTTTGGGTCAAAATATAAATTGAATGTTGGTCTTCTTGTCCTGTTGAGAATGTTACTTTTTTAATTTTAATCAACCAATTCAAAAATTGATCATTGTCACGCTGGCATCGATATTTCTCTTTTAGTGCAATGAAGAAGGTGCCGCTGAATGATTAAAAAAAAATTAAGCATATCTTAGTTTAGGTACAAGGCTTGAAGTATGTGACACCTAGCGAGAATCAAACTCACTATTAAATAATAATGGTTAAACGAAATTCCACCTAAACTGAAGGGTCCTGCAAATTTTTACCACAGAAATATCGCAGTTATCTCCCCCTTACAAGTCACGTGACTCGGAAGTTGCCAATATGGCGGCTAACATCATGTACTCGTATTATTGAATTGCTAAAAAAGTTTTATTTATCCGAATCGTATCGTTTGATAACACACAGATTGTAGAGATCTTATAAGTGCCCCAAATGTAATCTTGGGCCGTTCATGTCCGAAATTATCTGTGATGATTTGCTTTTGTTTGTTGGGGTAAAAAAAGCAAAGCACATCGAGTTTGTTTGATAGTGATTTTTTTTTAAAAAACTTCTGTAAAAGTCAAAAATCTCTCGGTACTGTTCTCTGTTTGTTTGATTTTTTTGTTTTTGTAAATTTTAAAATCCACATAGACATGGTTTCTCCGGTGGTTGAGAATAATCACGATGTCAAAAAGGAAAGACAGGCTTCTTCATCAGAGAAAGAAGAAGCACAGTCTGTTTCTGTTTCCGAACGTAAGAAAGAAAGGCCGAGATCCCCGCGACGTGAAAGATCTAGATCCAGAGAACGGAAAAGTCATAAAGGACGACACCGATCAAGAAGTCGAGAAAGGTAAAAGAAAAAAAAATTCTTTATTTATATTATCACTACAGATTTACGTAAATTCATTTATCTTTTTAAAAAGAAAACTTTCGTAAACAATGCTTTTTGAAAAGAAGACATTTTAAAAATTAATAAATTTCCACGTGCCGAAATGCATAATTTAAAATTATTGTCGCGTAAAAATGTCTCCAAAGGTACTGTTATCATTTGAAAATAATTTATATTTTCTATTGATCAATTAATTAATGATTCATTGATTGTATCAACTGTGATTGATAGGGGGAAGTTTTTTTCGGTAGTCATGCCTGTGTGTGTAGCCTAACTTTTTTTTTTCTTAAAGTCATGATTTTTTTTTTTTTTTTTAAAGCTCGTAACACCTTGATTTTAAAATGCAATCTCAAGCGATCTCTGAAATGCTTTAGTAAATTTGCTTTTTAACGCCCGCGCTAAATATCTTTTAAAATTTTCCCAAATCGTCATAATTCAGTGTAGATGTACATGCTGAACTCGAATTATTTAAATTATGAAGAAACCTACCGTTTTGGAGTTATCAACACCACGTCGAAGGTTAATAAATTTACTGTGACTTCAAGGTGGTCATTCTTTTATCAACTGGATGCCACCCAAGGCTAAAGAACTCCATAGCTGGTGGTAGGGGGGAGAAGTACTTCAATAATGCCTTTCCTAAAGGCATTTATTTCTACAGTGTCAGCAACACTACCGACTAGACCAGAAATGTTTAAACTTTAAGGAAATACGAAATAAACTTTCTGATATTTGGTTAGATTTAAGGAAAAGCCGGTCAGCTCAAAACCTTTTTTTAGTAACCCCTCCTGTCTTATATACATTATAATATTTCGATCTGAACCTGCTAAAGCATGGTAATTCAGTGGCTTCTCACACAAAATGGGTAACAGGTTTCAAACCCTGGCGGCAAGGACATTTTGGGTGCATAGGCTGGTAGACATAATGCGCACTGTTTAAAAATGGGTACATCTACTCAAATATGGATATCTACTAAAAATGATGTTTGAAGATATAAAATAAAAATACAGGAGCAGACACTAAGAGCAATCCTAAGTAGTGACAGTCTGTTTCATGCAATCTTCATGGTCTGATGATTGCATTCAAGCATGAAACAGCCTATCACCATTTGGTTTTGATCTCTGTCCACTCTTAGATTTACATGCACTCTATCCTGGATATATTGATCACTTTTACACCTAAAAATTTTGCATAATCTTTAAATTTATATATATATATATATATATATATGCATGTTTCATTAAAAACGACAGACAAGGTACTACAGTTGAGCTTTTATTTAATTTTTTCTTGTGTTCTGACAGAGCTTTCTTTTCTGGACAAAGAGTGCGTAAGAACTGTCCGAATGTTCTGTGTTTCCGAAGCGCTTTAGGAAGGATTTGCCAAATATATAAATATATATATATATATATATATATATATATATATATATATGAAATGGATTAAGTCTGACAATTATTTAATATATTTTCTGTTTATACATTATTTTTAATAGATAAAATTTATTTAAGTAAATGATCAGTTTTTTAAAGGAACAGTATTAATTACATTTACCAGCCTGAATGTTTGAGAAATTTCATAGAGAATATGTGCTTCTCCGACAGGAATCAAATCTGTAACCCCAATAGAGACCATCATTTGATCTTATTTGTGGCTGAATAATTAACAGTACATTAGATCAAATGGTGGTTCTCTTTAAGGGTTTTTAAATGCTATTGAAGAAGGCACATACAAAATTTCTTGAACATTCAAGCCAGTTAATATAATTAATACTGTTTATTTCAAAAACAGAGTGTTTACTTTAATAAATTGTATCTATTAAAAATAACATATTAACATATATATATATGAAGAAAAATATACAGAAAAAACAAACAAAAATTTTAATATGCAATTATGCTGTATTAATGTTAATATAAAGTCAAGTTCAAAGGTTTGGTCTATTTTAGACCATCATCAGGACATTTTCATTAAACATAATTAACATTAGAACATATAAAATATTGATGGTCTAAAATAGACATCGACGGCTTTATAACGATCTAATACAACATATCTATATCCATGTTTGTTTACATATATATCCATATATTTGTTTATATATATATATATATATATATATATATTGTTTATACATTATTTTTATAGATACAATTTATTTAAGTAAATGCTCTGTTTTTGAAATAAACAGTATTAATTACATTTACTGGCCTGAATGTTTGAGAAATTTTGTAGAAAATATGAATTCTCTGACAAGAATTGAACTTGTATTCCTAAACGGAAACTGTCATTTGGCCTGACGTGCTTTACTATTCAGCTACAGATAAACAATTGGTTAGCAATGTTCAAATTATTGTTTATAAACACAAAATCTTCGATTTTTCTCTATTAATAATTTTTGCTCACGAAATATATCTTAACATGAACAATGACAACATATACTGAAATGGATTAAGTCTGACAATTATTTAATGTATTTTTGGTTTATACATTATTTTGTAGATACAATTTATTTAAATAAATGGTGTGTTTTTAATTAAACAGTATTACATTTAAAGACCTGAATGTTTGAGTAACTCCATAGAAAATATGCATTCTCCAACAAGAATCAAACCTGTATTTCTCTATGGAAACTGTCATTTGGCCTGATGTGCTGTACTAATCTTGGTACTGACTATTCTTGATGTTACTTAACTTAGGTGGTTGTACAAGAACTGGTACTTGAATGGTGTGTTTTGCATTTTTATATGTTTCTTTTTTTATTTATTTCTATCATTTTAATTTTGTTCCCCTTTTATTTTCTTCAAGGCTAAAAAGCCTGGCTCGAGACAGACATCGGCATCGAAGTCGGAGCAAAGACCGCCATCGAAGTCGCAGTAAGGAACGACATAAGGGTAAAAGACATAAGGAACAATCCCACAAAGGCAAAGATAGAAATAAAGATGAGTGAGTATTTTTGTATTTCTTGGGTCTCAGAACCACCAGATGTGATGAGTGAGAGAGAGAGAGAACGAAATGAGATCTGGCTTGCAAGTCCTGATTTTATATGAGTGTTTACAATCAGCTAGTTTTCTGGCTTTGTAGCAAAATTAAAAAAAAAAAAAAATAGTTACAGAAGTTTTTATTTGCATTTATGTCCAGTCAAAACTCTTAAAAAGTCAGTTGTTTATCATCAAATAAATGTTGATATATCATTTATTTCTACCAGCTGAAAGTGTTTTAACAGAAAATGGAAAATATGACAAAATCTGAAAATGCATTGGAATAGCAAAAGATGCCTCCCAAAATAATGAACAAAGTATTAAGAAACAGGAAGATTTTTTTAAAAACAAAGAAATGGTATTTAACTGTTATGTAATAGCACTTTTCCTATATGGCAGTGAATGCTAAACAATTTTTTTTTTAACTGTCCTGGGTAAGACGATAAACCATTAATAAAGGTAAGACGATAAACCACGGTAAGACGATAAACCACGCAGTATCCTGGGTAAGACGACAAAACCACGGTGCGCCCTGGTAAGACGATAAGTCCGTTTGCGTCCGACGATAAACCACTGGGTAGCGAGAAACCAGCAAAAGGCCTCTGGTAAGACGATCCTGGTAAGACGATAAACCACGCAGCGTCCTGGTAAGATAAACCGATAAACCAGCGATAAACCACGCGCGCCCTGGGTAAGAGCGATAAACCACGTGTGCGTCCGTGGCGTCCTGGGTAAGACGATAAACCACGCAGCGCCTGGTAAGACGACAAACCACGATGAGAATGATGGTGCGCCCTAAGACGATAAACCACGGTAGCGTCCTTGGTAAGACGACAAACCATCAAAAGGCCCTGGTAAGACGATAAACCACGGTGCGCCCTGGTAAGACGATAAAACCACTTGGTAAGTGTCCTAAAGGGGTAAGACGATAAACCACGGTAAAGGCCCTGGTAAGACGACAAAACCCGCAGCGCCCTGGTAAGACGACAACCACACGGTAGCGTCCTGGTAAGAGAGATAACCACGCAGCGCCCTGGGTAAGACGATGGAGGCATCCAACAGCAGGGCCTTTGGTTGGGAGGTTTTGAGTGGCGTGGAGCTCCCTCTTGGTTGCTGGTAGTCCCGGGTCTGCCCTGACCTGGGGTATTGGTACCTGTCGGGGTCCCAGTTGTGGACCTGAGGTTGGTATACCGTGAACCAAACCAAAGCAACCTCTTTACAAATGACGTAGTGACTTGAGGCAGAAGAAATAGTGGTTCTACTGAAGCTTGCTAAGAATACCATGAACTGAACATTTTCTAGATATTTAAATTTTTGTCCTTGGTTGATTTTGCTATAGTTAATAATGCAAAAAGTGCATTTTGCAATGAAGAAAATCATTTTGAAATGGAAAGATTAATAAAGCTATTACAACACAATCTTAGAAATAATTCACTACATACCACTGCACAAGCTAAAAAAAAAATTATAATGGGAGTTGTTTTCTGCTAAATCTGTTTTTTGTTTTTTTAGGGTAGACTATTGTTTTAAAAGATAAATAAACTGATAATAATTCAGTTGTTTTGGTAAAATAATGGCGAAGACATTTTTTTTCCTGTCCTTATCTGAAGAATTCTTATTGTTTTTGTTTTTTTTTTGGTTTGTTTTTATATTTCTGAGAATTGTAACTATTTACATTATTTAGATTATTGTCCTCAGCTTTATTGCTATATTCACATTTATACTGTTTTATAGCTGGCATTCTTCAGATGGCATACAATGGAATTTCAAACCAAACCCCAAATTTCAATGTATATCATCTGAAGAAGGCTGGAGTGTACAATGGCTGAAACGTTGTGAATATGAGCAATATAGATGAGGACAACAATGTAAATTGTGTAAAATCTTTTTTTATTTTCCCAAAACTTGTGGTGGGGAGCATTTTTTTTTTTTTCCGTTGTTCCTATGTGACCAATTATTTCCCATTCTGTTCTTTTTTACTGCAGTTTCCAACAGTGAGTTCTTCATTGCTCAATAATTTGACAATGTCTTTTTTTTTCCCCTTTTTGAGATTATATATTTCACAAATTATGCTTTTTGCTATTTCCAGGAAGAAGGTGAAGTCAGAGAAGGCTTCCAAAAAAGTCCCCTTATCCCTGGAAGAGTTACTCGCAAAGAAGAAGGCAGAGGAAGAAGCATTAAGCAAAGTGAGTGACCAATTTACCATTTTTCTGTTCCTTCAATGAAGGGACTAGAAAGACCTGTGAAAATTTCATGGTTATCGTATTTGAATTTTCTGGTTATAGTGGAACACACCTATTCTATTGTTAATAGACTCTCCCACCTATAATAAGTAGGAGTAGTAGCAGTCGCTCAGGGAGTTGGTCAGTCAGTCGATGTCGGACAACCGTTAGTCAGATACTAGAAGTATCAGCGACCACCACTAGATTTCTCTGCGTCATTACCTATTATATCAAGTTTCTAACGTTTTGTGTGTCGAACCTATTTTAGGACCGACTTAGTGAAATACAAGCCTCCACTGTGAAACTACTCTACAACACTGATGAATCTTAATTCTTCAGTTAATGATTAAATAAGCTTATGGCAAGTTCTATGACAATAAAATATCTGTAGAAATTCCCCAATCACATCACTAAATATTGAGTTTAACAACTTTAACAAAATATTACAATGACAATCATAAATGCTAATGCTGGTTGTTATTTTAAGAAGTGGGTACAAATAAAAAAAATGGTAAACAACAACTTTTTCCAATTCACTGAAATAGCTATTAAACATTTCTATCTTTCCTTATTTCTTTCTTTCACTTCTTTTCTCACTGAAACCAAGTAACGTATGTCTTTTGTTTTTCTAAGTAATCAAAACCATTACTTATGAGGTATTGGCAGGAGACATTAAACACATCTATCTTCCCTTCTATTTTTTTTTCTTTTTTTAGCCAAATCCCTGTCTTACGAACATTTCTCTTAATAATAATTTAAAAATTATTCAGCAGACGATTGGTGATTGTCTTACTCGGTTCTAGTTATTTGATACAGTGCATCTGAAAAATGGTGCTCTTTTTATTTATATATATATATATATATATATATATATATATATATATATATATATATATATTCATGAATCATTTCCACAAAAAATAAATATAGAGGTTAATGATTAAATGGCGAGAATACATCTTGCAAACAATATAAATGAGATACATCAACCCCAAACCTTTATATGAATGATATGATCCCTGTTCATAAATTCCAGTTGTATAAGGTCTTTTTAATTTTTTTACAAACTTTCGTCTGTTCCTACAGACATCCTCAGTGTATGAAATTTTTGTTCTTGTTTTACTTCTCTAATAAATAAGACAACGAAAATAGAGATGAAATCTGAAAATGCTATGTTCCAAAACAATAACACATTTCTCATAGCATTTTTGGATTTCATCTCTATTTTTCGTTGTCCTCTTAATACCGAATATATAAAGTGTGTGTGTGTGTAATGGGCACATGGATGAGTGGTTAGTTCATTCACTTTCCAACCATCAGACCATGGTCCTGTTCTCACCATGTTCAATTTGTCAGGAAGGTGACTTCTTAATGAATTAGGCAGTCACAGAATTGAAATGTGTTTGGAAAAAGCAGCACATTTTGAACAGCACATATAACAATTAAATAAAATTTTCGTGTGTAATTATGCCTCACCCTGTATATTAGTGCATTTTTGAGAATTGTCTACCCTCCCACCCAACCCCGAAAATTAAATCTTTAAATTATTTTTGCTACCAATTTCAAATCATTGGATTCCATTTTGTTATCCAGCCGAAATTCCTGACGAAGGAAGAGCGAGCTGCTGAAGCCTTACGGAAACGTGCTGAAGCTGTCCAACAACAGCAGGCCGCAATCCAAGTAGAGAGAAAAAAACAGTTGGAATTTCTGAAGACAGCCAGAGGGGACTTTTCAGGTTTGTTAGCACTTGTTCGTTTTTCTTCGGGTCCGTTTACCTTTTCAGCATCTTGCAGTACATAAGCAGTCACTGTGCACGTTTATAAATCTTGTGATGCAAGACAGGAAATGCCTAGCACCTCTAACCTTTGGCCTTCCAATTTGTATGGTTATAGTTAACCTTGGAAAAAAAGCATTGAAAATCTTGCCTTTAATCACTGACCTCTGTTGCTTGTGCGAAATATGTAATTACTTCAGCCACCAAGCATATTCATCTTTTCCATATCACTCGTTGCATAAAATTTGTTGTATTTAAAACTGAAAGGGGACATAACTTCATCTTAAGGTGGCATGAGCAGCATATAATTCTTTTGGCCACACATGCACCACACTCTCATGTCCACCCTGACCTGGGGTGGTAGCACCTGTTAGGGTCCCAGCTATGGGCAAATAGTTGACACCCAAACTTGTGTAAAAATAGATTTTAATACCAGAAATTCTTTGGAATAAAAAAAAAAATATTACCAGCAATAATTTTTGAAGGAAAAATTATCAGCAATACTTAAAAAAAAAAAAAAAAAGTACTAGCAATACAAACAGCTATACATTCTTTGAAAAAAATATTACCAGCTATAAGTTTCTTCAAGGAAAAATATTTCCAGAAATAGACTTTTGAAGAAAAACATATTACCAGCAATAAAAATTTTGTCAGCATTAAATAACCCATTGAAATTGATATGCCGTAAAACAAACCAAACCAAACCACACTCTCATGAGTTGACTTGTTACTTGTCATAATTAGTGCTGTTTGTGAACATATTGATAATCACATAACAACTAAAATACAACTATTTACTTCAGACAAATTTTAGTAGATAATATGAAAATGTTATACAGGAGTCACAGCAAAGAAAGACTCAAAATTCAAGAAACCACCCTCATTAAATATCTTTCTCCACAGGAGATCATATATTGATGTGTGTCTAAAACATTTAATATGTGTATGATATATTTAATATACATACAAAAATAACAACAGAGCCAATATACGTTTTTTTTTTTTTTTTTTTTTATTTAACCGTTACATATGACATCATTTTAAACTGATTCCAATATTGAAATTGCAGATAAACTCTCTGAAGTTCATGTTCTGCTGTTTTTGTTCAATTACTTGTAAATGTATTTCTGATTACTATAACTGTTATATTTAATGGCTGCACATATTTGAGTAGACATCTTTGTTTTTATAGAGCAGTGTAATTGCCATTTACTGGTCTGGGATTTTGAGAGTGTATGCTAATTTTAACAGAAAATAGGAATCGTCTTTAAAAAAAAAAAATTAGCAAGTTTGCTTTGTAATTTGCAACTTCTTTGTCAATTTAATCCTATTGCATTTTAAACTATTATTAGAAAACTGATTTTTTTTTTTTTTTTTTTTTACAAATATTCATCCAATACAAGGCCCAAGAGCCACTCAAGATAGAGAGTTACTGAATGATATTGTTCTAAGGACATGCACAGACAAGCAAGAGATGCATATTATGAGCATATGTAGGATAGTTTTTTATTTTTTATTTATTTATTTTTTTTATACTAATGTTCACTCAAGAGCCACCCAAGGTAGAGGGTTACTGTGTGGAGTTATATTAGCATAGGAAAGGACAAGTATTAGGAGCATGGAGCTGGAGTAAACTTCAGAAGGAACCAGAAATAGGGATAAACCTCTACTCCTGTTTAAAAGATTGGGGTGGAGTGTGAACCAGGTGATAAGTGTACCTAGGCATATTGGTGAAGAAAGAAAAAAAAAAAAAGAAGAAATTTAAATAAATAGTGAATAAAATTTCAGAGTTCAGGCAGAGACATTAGGAGTACAGAGCTGAAGCAGACCCTAGAAGGAACTGGAAACCCAATTCTAAACAGGAAACCTGGGATAAATCTATCCCTCTTCAAAAGACTGAGAGGGGTGTGAACTGGACAATAGGTGAACCTAAGTAGCTTAATAGATATTAGAATGGAAAGGGGAATTCACATGAAGAGTTCAAATCCCAGCCTAGCCTTCAGTGTTCACTTTTGCACAAATGCCCTTGAGAAAGGCATCCATCCCTTCTCCCCACAGCTATGGCTCTAATAGCAAGATAGACTGGACTGTCTAGCCTTTGATAGTAGCCAGTCTAAGGCAGGAAACTCTGAATTACAAACTGTGGAGAAAGCAACAAGAAACCACTCCAATATCTCCCCCAGGAAGCCATGGTATTACACAGAAAAGAAAAGTTGTCTGTCCACAGAAGGGACAGCTTTTTAAAAAAAAAATTGATATGTAACAGTTGGGTTATCTGCCCTTGCATTCATCGCATGCTGTGTTTGTGGTAATGTTTGTGCATTGAATATTGCAGTCATATCTAGTCTTGTACTTCCTGCTATGTATTTAGTGATTCTTGACAATATCCCAAAAAGTATCTGCAATGTTATTTGTCTTGACCTGGCATCTCAGCTTCAGTCACTTTCCCACTGCCATAATGTAGCTTCACTCTGCTTTCACTATAAATATTTTCTTGGTACTTGTTCTGATGAGTTTTTCTCTTTGGAACCTTGAAGTCAAATGTAGTACTGGATTGGCAGCTAGGTCCCATCATTTTACAGTTGAAATAGTTAGATGTAACCATAACTTTTGATGCTAACAGTTTTCTTTTCTCTGACATTTCTCACTTATGGAACTCTTTTCCAGCTTCTTGCTTTCCAGTTAACTTTGATCTTGAAAAATTTAAATGCAATGTCAATCATCATCTTTCCCCTTGAACCCTGTTCTTTTTTTTTTTTTTGGAACTCTCTTATTAATAATGAATTTTCTTGGATTCTTTCACTTTCCGTATCCCTTTACATCTTAATGCCTATATTGCTTTGCTTGGGATTAATTTCTTCTTTTTTTTTTTTTTTTTTTGTGTGTATCAAATTATTTCTTTTCATTCTTTAGTTTGTCATAAATTTTCTTCATTTCACTTCAGCAAACAACAAGAAATTACCTGGAAAATTGCCACCTGTCCTCAGTCGTGTATTTTCTGAAAAAGATCTAGACAATGGTAAGAAACTTTTTTTTTTTTTTCTTTTTTTGACAATTTATGACATCATTTACTTTCTTTCCCTTACACTTTAGTCCTGGGTATGACAATAGACTACATCTGGCAGCAAGTTCTCTGATCAGAAAATTGAAGGCTTGGGGAGCATGGAAACACCTCTTAATTGCTGTTGTTTTCAGGTTCACTTAGACCCAGAGTGGTAGCACCTGTTAGGGTCCCAGCTATGGGCAAATAGTGAACCCCCAAACAAAAACAAAACCATTTGAAAGTATAAAAAAAATGCATTTTTATAGTAAATATACCAGCAATACATTTTTATATAAGAAATTACCAACATTACATATTTATAGTAAAATTACCAACAATATGCAAATGCTAACAAACCAATCTGTTTAAAATCTACCAAACAACCAACATGAAATAACTTTCATGACATTAATCCATATAATATCCTACAATTTCTTAAACCAAACTGTATTTGAAAATATAACTTTAACAAAACTACGGCATAAAATACATTATCGGCTCTAGTAATTATGTCCACACAAATATGTATATGCCCAAAAGCTGTGTATCATATTTTTATTACTTCAAAGCTCCCAAGGAAATTTAAATTTCTGCATTAAATGACCCATAAGGTGTTGATATGCCATCAAATAGACAATCAGTCAATTCTTACATGTGTGCTTTGCAAGAAAATAAAACTAACAGGATTTAGGTACAAATATATAGTTTTATTTATTTATATTTTTTGCTTGAATATCTGGAATGTGGAGTTATTTTTGTTTACATGCAGAGTATTGTCCTTATTTTTGTTGTTTTTGTCACAATGTTTAGGCCACGGTGCATCCAGCCTTCTTCAGGTGACGTAGTAATTTGGAGTTTGGGGTAGTGCAGACCTATACTTAGTAGAAAGCTGGGCAAGCAGTAACTGAAGAGTAGCAAATAACAAGACAAGATATTCCTACATGTGGATAGTAGATTGAGACCGCCTCCCTGTAGATTAAATACAGTTCAGTTTGAAATTCCATGACAGTTTTCTGCATCAACAAGCATTTGAGGAAGGCTGTATGATGCAACAGCCAAAACATTGTGATAATAACAACAAAGATGAGGATAATAGTCTGAGTGATAAATGATGATAACTCTTCAACCTAGAAATTAAGACATGAGGTGATCAGGTGATAATAACAACCAAGATGAGGACAATAGTCTGAATGTAAATAACTCCTCATACCAGAAATTCAAACAGAAGACAATCAGTTGATAGTAACAACAAAGATGAGGATATTTGTCCAAATGTAAATAACTGCTCACCCCAGAAATTCACACAGAGGGTGATCAGGTGATAATAACAACAAAGATGAAGATATTAGTCTTAGTGTAAATAATGATAACTCCTCATCCCAGGAATTCAGGCAGAAGGTGATCAGGTGGTAATAACATCAAAGATGAGGATATTAGTCCAAATGTATATAACTGCTCATCCCAGAAATTCAGACAGAAGGTTATCAGGTGATAATGACAACAAAGATGAGGATGTTAGTCTGAAATGTAAATAATGATAATTCCTTATCCCAGAAATTCAGACAGGGACAATAGTTTGAATGTAAATAATGTAATTTTATTGCCTGAAGTTAAAAGTTTGAACATCTGTTTGTTTTGCTGACATTAAATGTTCAGGACCTACCACATATCACAGATCAAACTGATGCCATGTATAGGGCTCAATTGTCTAGATTTGTAGTTCTATAGCCCTGGATAGTTGTCTGGTGTTTGGTTAGTTGTTTTGAACTTGCAGTATACCAAGAATGGAGGTTCTTCATTTGTTATACGTGGAGAGGGTTGGTGCTAGTGAATTGGCCTAAGGTTGGGAAATATTGGCAGTTAAAAAAAAAAAAAGTTTGGGAACCACTACTCTAGAATCATGAAGATTAGACAGGAGGACCAGAGACCCTGTATTTATTTATTCTCTTTTCCAGGCCGTGACCGATATGACAAAGATGGTAAGCGTCGAGATCGAAAGGACAAAGAAGAGGAGGATCGTAACAAATTATTGGACATGAAGGACAAAGAGAAAGAAGTAGAAGCCATTAAAGTGAGTTGACTACACGTGAAATATTATACCCTTAGACCCTTATATAATGGTTATGGATTAATAGTCCTTGAATTTTCAAAGCATTGCCATTTATTAGAAATTTTTGATTAGCCTTTCATCTTAATTTCTGTTGCTTTTTAATCTGTCGTCCTGGCTATGACGATAAACTACAACCATGTCCTGGGTAAGATGATAAACTACGTCCAGCAGCAAGTCCTCTGATCAGGAGGTTTTGATGAGCGTGGAACCACCTCTTAATTGCTGCTGTTCCCTGGTTCATCCTGACCCGGGGTGGTAGCACCTGTTACGGTCCCAGCTATGGGCAAATAATTAACTCCTAAACTGGGGTAAAAACACCTTGAAAGTGTAAAAATAGGTTTTAATACCAGAAATACTTTGTAAAAAATTATTACCAGCAATAAATTTTTGAAGAAAAAAAAACTATTACCAGCAATACATTTTTGAAAAAATATTACCAACAATGTTTTTAAAAAATAAATATTACTAGCAGTACATTTTTGAAGGAAAAATATTACCAGAAATAAATTTTTGACAAAACAAAACATTACCAGCAATAAAAATTTTGTCAGCATTAAATAACCCATTGAGGTGTTGATATGCTGTAAATCAAACCAAACTTTTTAATCTGACACCTGTGAGACCAGGCCACTGCTGGACCACAGAAAATGCTAGATGACAGAAATCAGCTCTAAAAAAAAAAAATATGTAACATAGTCTTCAGGACTGTGGAGTTGGAACAAAAAACCTTCAATTCCGACTCCTGTATTTTTAGCACTTCCAACTCCTCTTTATGTAATTAAGTGATTATGGCCTACAAATCTCATCAAGCCTATGCATATGCAATTAACTTGAGTAGGCCTATATCATTATAACTGGATTATATCAAATAATAAAGGTATTGTCGCTTATATATATATATATATATATATATATATATATATATATATGTGAAAAGTGTATATAAATATAATAAAATATATATGTATAATTATTTATATATTATATGTATGTGTACTTATTAGAAAGCTCAATATCAGAGATAGAGCTAACATATTTGGTTGATATCTATCCATCCAAATATATATATATATATATATATATATATATATATATCCTGCTTATTCATTCTTCAATATTTTCTAACAGAATTAGAGACAAAATCTTTGAAAGGATATAGGAGAAATAAAAATAAAAATGCTATAATGTAAGACTTTTTACATATATACATCTTTGCAAATAAGTACAGAACAAAAAATAAAACTACTTTATATTAGAAGTTGAAATATAATCTTTTACAGGATGTAAAAGACATAAAAATAAAAATTCTATAATGTAAGATTTGTTTTTACATATATAGTTTTGCAAATACAAAATAACTACAAAAACATAAAATGACTTTAAAAAAGAAATTGAGATGAATTTCTTTAAAGGAAATAGAAAATATACAGTAGAAAAAAATAACCATAAAAATAAAAATTCTATAAAACTCTTTACATAAAGTGTAAATTCAACTGGATTCAGAGTCAGTATAGTTTTACCAACTCCAGTAACCAGTGTCTGTCTATATTTCTGAGATGAAGTATTATGTACATTATTTACATTATTCGGACTATTGTCCTCATCTTTGTCGCCATATTTATCACAACGTTTCAGCCGATGTATGCTCCGGCCCTCTTCAGGTGGTTGGAATGTTGAACTGAACCTTTTATTTCACTCACCGGGGTAGACTGTTCTAGTTCCACGTGCAATGTTTGATGGATGTCGGTTATCAGTTATCTCCTGTTAACTTAAGGAATCAGCACATATGCTAGGCCACAAAAATCTCCTGAGCCGACCAAGCATAGAAATAAATACAATACAGTAATAAGGAGTGCCAGAGAAAAGCAATGATAACAACATAGTTGCAATATGAGCTCTGGTAAAAACATAAAATGATAACAGCAAAAATTGCACTATGGTAAAGTGGTGAAGACATTAGGTTTATAATACCCAGAAATTCATACACAGACACATGGCACAGTGGATAAAGGCGTTGATTAGATCCAGTGAGCAGATCCAAAGAGTGTGAGTTCAATACCTGGTTAAGGCAGTGGAGAACTTTCAGAGGGAAATTAACAGGAGATAACTGATAACTGACATCCATCAAACATGGCACGTGGAACTAGAAGAGTCTACCCTGGTGAGCGAAATAAAGGGTTCAGTTCGACATTCCAACCGGAAGAAGGCCGGAGCGTACATCGGCCGAAACGTTGTGATGAATATGGCGACAAAGATGAGGACAATAGTCTGAATAATGTAAATAATGTCCAGTGACCACTTAATTGATTTTGACTCTGATAGTCTTGCCAGTTCATTCCACATATATGTTGCTGTGTTAGCAAAAGTAGAACAAAGCTTCAAATGGGGAATAAAAAAAAACAGTCAGCAAACATATTGAAAGAACAGTTTTTCCCATGCCACTGTTTTTCAGCAATGTTTATTTTAAAAAGTGATAGTTAGAATTGGAATAAAACCTAAACATATGAAAGTGAATTTATGCATTTTCTTTGTCTTTGAGAATTGACAACAAAAATAATATAATATTTATTTATTATTTACACTGTTTATTAGTGATGGGAATGGTTGGCAAACATTGGTTAATTGTCAATTGATTCAAACTTTAAAAAATAATAAATAAGGATTTCCTTAGAGTTGGTTCACATATTTTAATAATTTAATAAATGTTTATAAATAAAAATTTTTGTATATCTTTATAAATTGGAAAATAATAAATATTGCATTGCATTAGTTCTAATTGTATTAGGTTTTAGAATGTTGTAAATATAAGATTATTCTTGTAAATAGACAATCTAAAAAAGTTTTTATATATATATATATATATAGCGTTTATCATTGCTTCGAAATCATCTATGTAAACAATGACAGACTATCATCACTGTCGTGTCCGTATATTGTTTAATATGTTGTAATTGACATCTTTGATAATGGTTTATGTAAGCTGAAAGCTTAGATTGTATTAAAAAAATATGGATCAATATTGTGAATTTCTTTCTTCATTCAACGATAATGTTATTAAACTTATCAGACGTTACGAAAAAATTTTATATAAAATAAATAGACAACACTTGTTTATATTATTTAATGAAACATGCATGAATATATATATATATATATATATATATATATATATATATATATATATAATTTATTTATTTATGAATTCACTTTCATATGTTTAGGTTTTATTCAGTTCTAATCATCACTTTTTAAAACAATAAACATTGCTGAAGAGTGAAGAAAGACGGAGTGAAAAAGGATGTTTTGATCCTTTGTTATTCCATTGATATCCTGATGGGGGCCACTTTGCTATCTTTCCCAAGAAGTCATGGCAAGTCACAGATAATAAAGAAAAGGAACTGTGGAGAGACATGATCATCTCTAGCCTGACGGACATAGCATTTGAAAAGAAATAGTGAGTTTGTATGCTAAGCAAAAATCAAGAATAAAAGCCTTGGTGTCTTCACTGGAATTTAATAATGTCCATTTATTTGCTGTTCCACAATATGTTTTACAAAGGTTTATTTAAGATTGACTATTCATCATGTCTATTGGATGTCTGGGTGGTGTGTTGGTTGGTGGCTCAAGTTGAGGAATCGGAGAGCCAAGTTTGTATTCCAATCAAGTTCATTGCATTCACTTACTTGAGAAAGGTATGAGTCAATCTCTTCCCCCCTAGTTATGGGTAAAATAGCAGGACAGACTAGATGCTATAGCTTGGGTTGGCAACCAGTCTAAGTGAAGGAAAATTCTGAATTCAAATCACCTTTGCCTTTCTAAACTCTGAGAGGAGAGACTGGGAAACCTTAACATCCCAGTGCAAAGGAACTGACAAGCCATTTCTTTATTGATTTGAATGTGACCATGAACCACAATTGGGAGATGTAGGGGAGTGGTAACCACAGCAGCACAAAATATTTGTTTGCTCGGTGGCATATCAACTCCTTATGGGTCATTTAATGCCGAAATTTAATTTTCTTGGGAGCTTTAGTAATTTCTTTTATGAAAATTCTTTTCTCACTATTTACATTATTCGGACTATTGTCCTCATCTTTGTCACCATATGTATTACAACGTTTCGGCTGTTGTATGCTCTGGCCTTCTTCAGGTGGTTGGAATGTTGAACTGAACCCTTTATTTCGCTCACTGGGGTGGTAGACTGTTCTAGTTCCACGTGCCATATTTAGTAGATGTCATTTGTCAGTTATCTCCTGTTAATTCCTCTCTCCAACGACCCAAAGAATGTGAGTTCAATACCTGGTTAAGGCAGCGGAGAACTTGGAGAGGGGAATTAACAGGGTTCAACAGCAATTAAGAGGTGGTTCCTTGATCCTGGAAGCCTCCACTCTCCTGATCAGAGGCCTTGCTGCCGGATGTAATTTATCATCATACCCAGTACGGGGCACAAAATATGCCAAATGAATAAAATGATGATGAAATGATTCATCTCTCATGCCACCACCCAGTGGGTATAGCTGAAGCCTTCAGTGGTCAGTCTCCTATACATACTACCAGCACATTGAAGAAGTGTGATTCTGGCATATTTACTTGATATTTTAGCTTAATTTTGTATAGAATTATAATTTAGGGCATAGCTTGTTGACAAATATCCTATAAAAGAAAAAATTGAAAAGTTCATTTTTCAACTGTGACATCTACTAATTTTCAAAATGTTTTTCTTGTTGTTTCCAGGAACGTTATCTTGGAATTACAAAGAAACGGCGTCGTGTGCGGCGTCTAAATGATCGGAAATTTGTGTTTGACTGGGATGCTGGTGATGACACTTCTCAAGACTACAACCCTATTTACAAAGACAGACATGCTGTACAGTTTTTTGGACGAGGACATGTTGCTGGAATTGATCTGAAGGTTACTTTTCATTTGTTTCATTTTTTTTTTTTTTTTTTTTTTTTCACTTATTTGTTCTGGATGGGGTGTAATGTTAGTTAAACCCAAATTTATCAGTGAAATGAGGTATTGACTTAATTTTGGAAATATGACCTATAAAACAAAGAAAAAAAATATTATAAAGACAAGGCATTTTGTGGGCCACCAGGAACCTCTTCACACAACTCTCAACTGGAGAAGAATGGTGTGGTTTGGACACTTTGCAAGACATGACAGCCTGTGCAAGACCACCATGGAAAGCACCATTAAAGGTGGACAGAGGAGAGGACGTCAAACTGGTTGGACAATGTTAAACAATGGACAAGTATGACGATACCACAATTGCTGATGGCTGCTGTTGATAGACTGTTGTGGAGGAGAATCAGCATGGTTTCTGCATTCAGATCCTCCCTACAATTACAAAAGTCATGATGATGATTATGTCCCAGAAAGGGATATATTTGATCGAAGTAGCTAAGTGGTTTTGGCTACTGTAACCAAGTAGTACACGGTAACAGTAATTGACTGGTATTCGTTATAGTCGCAGGTAATAGGTGTAGACCAATAGGATAGCCAATGGCGTAGTCCAATGGGTGTCGTCATAGACTTAAACTCTGTTGTACCTACACACCTGTCTGTATTTATGACGGACATCAGCCCATCATATTCCAGTGAGCAGGAACATGGGTGTATGCATATTCCATTTTATCAATGATGATGATTGTGTGTCAAGAACTGTTTGTTGGCTTAAATAAATTAAGGTTAGGTTGGCTAGACTTCTCAACCCTTGTTGGGTTATTATTTAATGTCAAATTTTGTCTGAGCCACCCAGTGAGGATTGAACTTACTACTCACTAGTAATGGCCAGCTTGACGAGCCTTGCAAACTGTTGTCATGCCAAGGTACCTGGAATTGATTTTGCTAGGAAAAATGAATAATGGTTGACAATAAAAATTTGTTTGTTCTGTAATTAGTTAGCACTTATGTTTACACCCTACCAATACCTCGTAAATAATGGACTATTCTATTTTGATTGCAAGGAAAGATGGAAAAGACATATCAGAGACACTAAGTAAAAAAAAAAAAAAAAAAAAGATAGTAGTAATGATAATGCTATCATGTCTAACATCTGCTTCAGTGAAATAGAAAACATGTTACTTGCAAATCTTTTCATTTTTACCCTCTTACTTCTTTAAATAATGACCTTCATTCATATTCATGAGTATTATTGCAATATTTTGTTAAAGCTGTTAAGCTCAAATGTTTAACAATGCAATAGGGGAATTTCCATGGGTATTTCATAGCTGTAGAACTAACAATTATTCATTCAATCATTAACTTAAGGATTATGATTCACCAGAAGATTCAAAAAGGAAAACAATGAAATTTTGATGGTTACTATGAGGAGTTATTATTATTATTATTATTATTATCTTATTTATTTCATTTATTCATTTATTTCTTTTTAAAGGCCCAAAAGAAAGATCAGTCTAAATTTTATGGAGATCTTCTTGAACGTCGTCGCACAGAAGCTGAGAAAGAACAGGAGAGGTGAGTTTATTTCATGCTAGCAGTAGAGCCCGGCATTGCCCGGGGATGTAACAGTAAGAGACAGATCAAGTATCGACCATCATAAAGACTGAAAAATAAAATTGACAAAGATTATTGTTTAAGGTTGATGGACACGCATGTCTTAATTAGTTTTTTTTTTTTTGAATTGGTCAAACCCAAACTCAAACAAAAACATTGTTTTCAATCGTTATGAGTCTACTGATTGAATAGAATTTTATTATAAACATTTGTCTTGTAAATGAAATTTTTAAAGCATTCTGAATGTAAAAATAAAGAAAAAAAGTGTGCAAGATAATAAGAAACACTACCTGCCAAAAAAAAAGTGAATTTTTGTTGAAATCAGTTGAAAAATGTAGGAAATCCGATCCCATATATAAATGAACACACACAAACAACCAACCTGGGTTTTATAATACGTATAACTCGATATGAGTTGTTCCCCTTTCATTAGTGCCTTAATCATGTTTTCAAATTGATTTCATGCAAAAATAATTGTGTTTTTCCAATTTTTGGTGCTGTCAGAAACACCACAATGTAATTTTATGTAGTCCTGTGAAGTTTTGATGAAATCGGTTGAAAAATGTAGGAAATATGATCCCATATATAAACGTACAGACACACACACACAATCTGCATTTTATAATAAGTAAGATTTCTGTGACCCACATTACCCTAACACATTTGGCTACCTAACTACCCAGACTGTAACCTCCTTGATAGTTATGTGTGCGGCACAGTTTAGCAAGAGACCAACAAAACTCCTTGTAACACCAAAGATGAACTGAAGGCAAGAATTATCGTAGCATTCACTAACTTAAACGAGGAGACTGTCCAGAAGAGTTGCAGGAGATTCTGAAGTGGTCTGGTGGCTGTGGTTGAAGCAATCTTATTGAATAAATTTACTCTTTAGTATTTCAAGATATTTTTGTGTAATTTTGGTGAATATATCTATTAAAATGAAGTGTCGGTGTTATTTTCATTTTTGTGTAATTTAGACGACAATTTACCCATCGCACCCTGTACTTCTCACTAAAGGAATATGAGGATGATTCACTTTTGTGTATGTGGCATGGCAAATCCCAGTTGTAAAAGTCAAGGGTGGTGGTACTGCTCCTTAGATTGAAGGTTTTGCAGAGCGTGGAACCACTTTTTAACTCCTGTTGTTCCCAGATCTGCCCTAACCCAGGGTAGTAGCATATGTTAGGGTCCCAGTGACACCCCCCCGCAACAAAAATCATCGCTATATTTTTATAGAAAAATGACAATACAACGCTAAAACAAAAGTATAGTAATACATTTTTATAATAAGATTACCAACAATACATTTTATGATCTACAAACTATATATAAAATTATGTACAACATTGATAGTTGAAAGCATAGAATTTCTTAGAAAATATTTAGATTTTGGCATTAAATAACCCATTGAGGTTGATAGCCTCTTAAGCAAAATCAGCAAAGGTGGTAACCCCCCGCCCCTCCCCCCCAACTAATAAAGGAAAAAATGAAATCATTAATGACCTGTTCTCTCATTTTAATGAAAAAAAAAATTTATTTATTTTTATTTTATTTTTATTTTTTTTTCAGGAAACGTTTGAAGAATGTTGCCAAGAAGGAAGCCAAACAGAAATGGGACGATCGGCATTGGTCTGAGAAGGACTTGGAACAAATGCAGGAACGTGATTGGCGTATCTTTAAAGAAGACTACAACATTACCTGCAAAGGAGGCAAAATTCCTCATCCAATCCGTTATTGGCATGAATCTATTCTCTCCAAAGAAATCTTGGCTATTATTGAAAGTGTGGGATACAAGGTAGGTTCGTTTTGAGTAAATTCTGTTTTAATTATAATCGCATGATCAGAATTTAATAGGTTGTGCTCAGGGTAGTTTCACCCAATGCCACAAATTGCTACAAAACCAGAAGATGAGCCCAAAATCTCAAGTCATGCATGGCACCAAACTCACCCAGATATATCTAAACTCTCATCTGGTTTATGAACATGTCATGTTGAAACACCGGTTCTCATATGATCACCAGAGTTAAGCAACATTGAGCCTGCTCAGTACCTAGATGGGTGACTGCTTTGGAATGCCAGTTGCTATAAGCTGGGATGTGTGGGTGGTGTAATTGATAACGGCTTGGAATTAGAAATCAGAGAGTTAAGTTCAGTATTTATTGTTCCACTCACGAGGACCGAATATGGCACAAGGCCGGTTTTAATGTAGGTATCCCCGAGCCCGTAGGCCCGGCCAAAAATATAGCCTTTGAACCCGCCTAGACGGGTTCAGGCCCTGTCTACCTCCCTGGACGAAACCTTGCCCTTCGGCAAAGCCTCGTCCGGGTTCATCTCTGCTAACGCAGAGAGTTCGACAGAAGGCGTGCGCAGTCCGAGACCGCTCAACACCATTCTTAGAGTTAAGTTCCAATTTCTATTGTGTTATATTCATTCACATGCAGATACTTTTGAAAAATGTATGAATTTATCTTTCCACCACCACCTATGGGTTAATTAGTAGAACTTGTATCTGTATAAATTCAGGATCTACCACCTCTTCACCCCAGCTATGGGTTAATAAGACTAAACCAAAAAATATTCTTACAATAAATATTTTCCGGTTTTAAATAACCTGGCAAGGGTTGATAAGTGGTAGAAAACAAATCAACCAATGAAATACTGATTAGTTACAAAGGCATGTCTTTAATATTTATTTACATTCTCTCGAATATAAATGTATAAAAACTACCTTAGCCATAAAGTGGGGGGTCAGTTTATATATTGATTTTAATATAGAATTGGTCCCCCACTTTATATCCACATTATAATTTCTTGCATGTTGATAAGCCGTTTGAAAATTAATCAATCAATCAATGAAATACTGATTAGCTACACAGGCATGTCTTTTAGATTTATTTACATTCTATGGTATATAAATGTATAGAAACTACTGTAACCACAAAGTGAGGGATCAGTTTATATATTGATTGTAATATATAATTAATCCCCGATTTTATATCCTCATAATTTCTTGTTTGTTTATCAAATTCTGATTAGGTATGAATCCATCTCTTCTCCACCACCTCCCAGCTATGGGTTAATTAGTAAGACTTGTATCACTAAACCATTATCAATTATCATTAAAAAACCTGCAAAGGAGTTGATAAGCCTAGAAAACCAATCAATCAATCTCTTGTTGATATTAGTTGATTTGTATGTTGCCTTGTCGGTGAGGCTTGCCTGCATCCCCTAGAGAGGAATAAGATACTCTGCCAAAAGTTAACTTGTCTACATTTCTGGCTCTAGTGTTAACCTGACCTAGCCCTGCCTGTCTATAAAATCACTGATTTTTGTCTTATAAGACTTATATTTGACACTAAATGACCCAGTAATGGTTGATATCTGCCTATATTTCCGAAAAGAGGTATTGTAACTATTTACACTGGTTGGACTCTTGTCCTCACCTTTATTGTCATATTCATAACATTTCAGCCATTGTACGCTCCAGCCTTTTTCAGGTGATATATGTTGAAATTTGACCTGAACTCTTTATTTCATCCACTGGGGTAGATTGTTCTAGTTCCACATGCCATGCCTTTTCTGGATATCTCAGTTTCAGTTATCTTCCTTTAGTAACTCAACTCTCCAAGTTTTTGTTCACCTCTGCTGTGGTCAAAATCCCAACATATATCACCTGAAGAAGACATGAGTGTAAAATGGTCGAAATTTCATGAATATGATAATAAAAATGAGGACAACAGTAAATACACAATGTAAATAGTGTAAATAAGGGTTGATATGTTGTTAAATAAAATTACCTCCAGAATGTTAAAGGTTAAAAAAAAAAAAATGAAATAAAATTACAGATCAAACAGAAAGTTCTTTTTTTGATTTGCAGCCCCTGACATGCAACCAGCCAACTTGAAGGCATCTTAAAGGCATGAAAAAAATTTACATAAAGCCTTCAGGCCCTTCAATCTGTTTTTTTTTTTTTGCTGAGAATGCATTTTCATTTTGTGTGCTTTTCCTGATTTAAAAAAAAATGAAATCCTGATGAGAACAATGCTCTATGCCCTGTATGTTAAAAAAGTTTTTATTTTTTTAGACAAATCTGCTTAATTTTTATCTGAATTTCTGGGATGAAGAATCCTATTATTATTTGGCTTGTCTCTCCTTTCTTAGTTTACACCATTGTTACGGCCTGCTAATATCTAATTTTTTTTTTTTTAACCTTTAACATTCTGGAGGTGATTTTATTTTGCAAAGATTTTATCCCGCCACTGCAAATGACTCAGATGAATGAATGAAGGATAGCACATTTATATTTTGTGGTTGTCTTGTCATATCCTGCTATGGCAACAAAAAATGACCGTGAGTGAAATTAAGTAGTGCAGTAGAGGCGCCTTGAAAAACAATGCAGTGGAAAGGAAAGTAGAAAATAACGCAGTGTGCTAATGGTTAAAAAGCATTACATCTCAAGTGTTCTTCCCTTACAGGAACCAACTCCAATTCAGCGGCAAGCCATTCCTATTGGCTTACAGAACCGTGACATTATTGGTGTAGCAGAAACTGGCAGCGGTAAGACAGCTGCTTTCCTCATCCCATTGTTAGTGTGGATCCAATCTTTGCCAAAGATTGAAAGGTAATTTCTTCAGACTCCAGAATTTATTTTATTTGTGTGCCTTTTGAGTCTTTGTCGTATTCCAGATCTCCTCAGTCTGAGGTGTTTAACAAGCAAAGGAATATTATTATTTCATGCATTTATTCTTTATTTTATAAATATGTATTTTTATTTTTTTATTTATTTATTTTTTTTGGTTGAGAGATTCATTGCTGGTTGAAATATCTTAGTTTGCACTATCAAATATTAACTTGCTTGACTTGTGGAAATTCCATGAGTACTGACAACTAAGCTATCATCATTTTTGTTTTATATATATATATATATATAGAGAGAGAGAGAGAGGGAGGACCAATTTTCTGTTTCAAATCTTCCTTAATTCCATTTCAGGTTTTAGGAAATCCCCCCTCCCCCCCGTTTTCAGTATGTATTTCTGTTTTTGCATCATTATAATACTTCATGAGAAAGTGTAACAATATATAAAATGTTATTAAAACAAGAAAATTTTCTGAATTGGAATATTCACCCATTGGCTAAGTTGCTCCAGCTTGATAGGATTTTGTACCTCATACTTCTGCCCTTAATCTAACTTGAGTTTCTAGCATGACCCTTGCAAAGAATGCTACAATCCCAAATAAGAATTAAGTGAATATGGCAAAAGCAGCAGAAAAGTATCACCACAAAGTCGTCTTTGTGGTGACAAAAAGCTACATTATCATATGGTTATTTTTATTGAAATTATTAAATAACTTTTTTGAAAAAGGTCTAATTCATAAAATTTGGCTTTCTGGAAAGACAAACTGTCCCTCCCCCACTTCTGTCACCATGTTTCTTAAGAAAAAGAAGGAATAAAACAAGGATGAAACTTTTGACCCCCCCTCCCCCTCACCACCACCACATTTTTTTTTTATTCCCTATTTTTAAATCACGCCAATACTGTAAAACTTGGTTCCTAAATACTGTAAACTGTAGGGATACTGTAGGTAAGTGGGGGATGTATTAAAACATTATTAGCTTTATCCTTTTATGTCTGTCAGAGTACAGGTGAGTTAAGAATGGCAAACATAGTAACAATTAAAAATGGCAGTAACAGATCTCTCTATCTAATATATATGTGTGTGTCTATATATATATATGTGTGTGTGTGTTTATATATATATGTGTGTTTATATATATATATATATATAATATATATGTATATTTATGTATATATATATATATATATATATATATATATATCTCACAACTCTGAGTTTCATGCACAATGCAATTGTCAGTTGCTGATTGAAAACAGTTTTCAGTCAGCACTGGACAATTGCATTGTGCATGGAAAAAAATTTGTGCCAAGGAAAATCAAACAAAATCTGGAATAATTCTGAGATTCTATTTAAGAACTTTCAGATTTTGTAACCCTTCAATATTTATAGGAAGAGGAGAAATAGATTGAAGAGTCTTTTAAGCTCCTCCAATACCTAAATTAATAATATTCAACACAAAATGAAAGGCTTGTAAAATATTTCAAAATAGAAAATGGGACTATCCTGACAAACCAAATGAATCAAAATATATTATTCTATCCACCAACTCTATTGCATCTGTAATTGGAAAGAATTTATCTAAGCTTGACATAAAATTTGTTACACTACTTCAAAAACAAATAAAAGACAAAATAAGTTAAAACTTGAAGGAGGAATTTTTTCTATTACCTGTAATAATTGCCATAAGAAATACATTGGAGAAACCACATGAAATTTAAATAAAAGATTATATGAACACAAAAATGATCTTTTTACAAAACACTCTTCAAAAAAGATTTAATTTACTAAGAATAACAGTTTGGCATTAAAAAATAAAACTGGCAAAGTTTGGCTTGCTATAAAAAGGAAATGAGCCAAACTAATTCTCCAAATTTACTCTCTTTACAGTGTTAAGCATTGGAAAACTGAATTCTTAAACAACATTATAAATGCTAACCTTTTCTAGTTAGACTGATCTCATGATGCATTTGCATGGTTGTCTGCTTTGAAATTAGCTATTTATTTTGAGTTTGTTTTTTTTAATTTTTCATTTATTAGTAGGGAAATGAAATTTTCTGCATGTACTTTCCATGGCAACCAATCAAAAACTGATGCCAATAGCACGAACATAATCCTACCAGAATAAGGTATAGTGGTGTTAAGTTTTGCAGATAGTGTGCACAAATTGAAAATATACAAGGCAGTGCTGAAAAGTTATTGGTCTGACCAAGAAGCTTTCTCAAAACAAATTTCTGAAGTTTGGTAATTTGGTTAGATTTTGAGAAGGGGATGAGATCCAAAGACTTTTTGTCACTCCATCATAGATAGTTCAAAACAGAATGTAAATTCGAGTTAAAACTGGGTTAGTTTCTAAATTTTGTCAATCTGGTGCAATGTGTTTTTTTTTTTGTTTTTTTTTTAATTTCAGAATGGAAGATGCTGACCAAGGCCCATATGCAATCATTTTAGCACCAACTCGTGAGTTAGCTCAACAGATTGAAGAAGAAACAATTAAATTTGGAACCATGTTGGGTATTCGTACTGTAGCTGTTATTGGTGGCATCTCTCGAGAAGAACAGGGATTCAAATTACGTCAGGGTTGTGAGGTAAAAAACTTAATTTTTTTTTTTTTTTTTTTTCTGTTTTGCATTCATGGAAGTAATGGAGTAATGGTAAAATCAGTGCAGTAGGAAACAAAGAGAAAACTTAGAATTGTGGTTTATGGTTTTGTATGTATGTATGTACGCATGAGTGTGTGTAGATATATATGTACACACACACACCTCTCATCAGCCAATTATCTGTAGAATGGGAGGTATTGATTTTGAGTAATCAAACCACTATAGTAAATACCAGTAGTTATAATCATTTATGTAAATACTATAAACATGTATATATGGCATAAATATACTGTAGTGTGTGTATATATATATATATATATATATATATATACAGCATACTGTATATATAATCATATATATATATTTGGGTTAAATAGCAGGACGGACTGGGTTCTATAGCCTTGGATGGCAACTGGTCTGGAGAAGGACAACTCTGAATTCAAAACCTGAGGGGAGTTGTTTGGGGACCTTGTGGCACGCAGTGCACCAGGTCTCTGTATTCGCCATTCAAAAAAGTGTGGATGGTCCTGCACGAAACCTTCACCACTATAATCAAATCTCATGTGCCAAATGTGGTGTATATATATATATATATATATATATATATATATATATATATATATAAATCTCAACTGACCAATACTCGACTTAGACATGGAAGCCATGTACTTGGTACCTTCTAACTTTTTAAAAATAAAGTTTATTTTTTTAAATATAAAAAAAAAAATCATAAATTACTTTTCAGTTAACTTGGGGCACACCTGGTTACCTTTTAGAGTGCATTAGTGCACCTGGGCACACTGGTTGAAAAACACTGGTTTAAGGCGATGATACTGTGGGGTCTGGTTGGTGATTCAAACCAGTTTGTGCATCTAAGATTGATAGTCAACTTCTGAAACATTGTTTTATTTATTTTTATTTTCTTTATTTGTTACTTTGCTCAGGTTGTAATTGCTACACCAGGTCGTTTAATTGATGTCCTGGAGAATCGCTACCTTGTACTTAACCAATGTACATATGTTGTGATGGATGAAGCCGATCGGATGATCGACATGGGATTTGAAGCAGAGGTGCAGAAGATTCTGGAATTCCTGCCAGTCAGTAACCAAAAACCTGATACGGAGGAGGCAGAAGACGACACAAAGATGATGCAGAATTTTACTTCAAAGAAAAAATATCGACAGGTTGGATATTTGTCTTTTTATATTCATATGTGCATCCTTTGTTAAATAATGAAAAATAAAACACTGTTGTTGTATACCTAATCCACTGCTTGGGGTTTCATGCCATATTGGCAATCTTCAGGTGGAAATTAATAATTTCTTTTTTTTTTTTTTTTTTTTTTTTTTTTTAATCATTTCACACCAAGCAAGGCAATAAAGCCACTAAAATGCAAGATGTTACATACCATTAAGGAGAGGGAATAATAAAGGAATAAAAATTAAGAAAACAAAAGATAACAGTTAACGTTGCATTTAAATTTTTGAAGATCAAAGTTGACTGGGAAGCAAGAAGCCAGAAGAGAGTTCCACAAGCGAGAAGTGTGATAGAAGAAACTGTTAACATAGAATTTATGGTTACATCTAGCGGCCATTTCTACTATAAAATGATGAGACTTTGCCACCAATCTAGTACAGTGCTGAAATTTGTAAAGTCTAGGTACCATAGAGGAATGTTCATCAGAACAATTACCATGAAGTTGTTTATAAAAAAAGGCACAGAGAAAGCAACATCATGGTGGTGGTGATGGGAAAGAGACTGAAGCTGAGATGCCAGGTCAGGACTAATAACATTGCAGATTCTTCTTTGGATTTTATCATGAATCTCTAAATTTATAGCAGAAGAACCAGACCCTATGTGGCAGCAAAATATAATAAGCTCTGTTTTTATTATAGGATTTTAAAAGAAATCCAGTATTATAGGTTCATAAAATAACAATTCTATATGATCATAAAAACCTGATCATAAAAAAAAATTCTACAGTGAATATTAATGAGTTAAACTATTTTTGCCTTTTTTTTTTTTTTTTCCCCTCTGACTAGACTGTCATGTTCACGGCCACGATGCCTCCAGCCGTGGAGCGACTAGCTCGCACATACTTGCGCCGACCTGCTGTCGTCTATATTGGCTCTGCCGGTAAACCCACTGAACGAGTTGAACAAATCATCTACATGGTGTCCGAATCTGAGAAGAGGAAGAAATTGTTGAGCATTCTTGAGGCTGGCACTGAACCCCCCATCATTATTTTTGTCAACCAGAAGAAGGGGGCTGATGTCCTGGCCAAATCTCTAGAAAAGATGAACGTGAGTTTTTCTTTTTTTTTTTATTCTTCTTATTATTATTATTATCATTCTTCTTATTATTATCATCATTATTAGGGTGTTAGAGGATAGGGGAAGAAAATTTTGGGTGGGGGAATGTTTCTAATTGTTCTCTTAGGGATCAGTTTGAATTTATGACAGATAAAGAATTTCCCATCACCCTCAGCACACACAGAAGATCAGATCTTCCTTTTTGAAGTGTTATTTAAAAGAAAATTTTCTTAACAAAAAAAAAAAATGTTCTTTAAAAAAAAATATATAAATAAAAAAAATAGGACTTTTATTTTATCTAATGCTGACATTGCCCAGAAACTAATTCTGTCGAAATAAAAAGACAGGCACTTCATGTTATTTGTATAGATTTTTGAAATGACTAAGGGAAGTAATCATGCATTAACCTACTCCCAAAAGCTGATCTACCTCCTTGACAACTATAATTTTATGTGTGAAGAGATATTTGACGTTCATGAGAAATGGTCATATTGACCTTATTTAAGACCATTCATGGCTTTCATGAACTTTACATGGCATGTGACCTTCACTAGATCAAAGCCTATCTGTATGCCAAGTGTGTTTGAAATCCATCCCCGTTTAGTAGGTTCTAAGTGTGTAGTGGACAAACGGACACTTCATTTTATTTGTATAGGTTTACAATAATACGAATAAAATTTCCCCCCTCTCTCCCTTCCTTTTTCCATTCCTCCTCTCTCCCTTCCTTTTTCCATTCCTCCTCTCTCCCTTCCTTTTTCCATTCCTCCTCTCTCCCTTCCTTTTTCCATTCCTCCTCTCTCCCTTCCTTTTTCCATTCCTCCTCTCTCCCTTCCTTTTTCCATTCCTCCTTTCTATCCTCCTTTTTTCACCCTCCTTCCCCCTCTCTCACCTCCTTTTCCCGTTCACCCTCTCTCTCCTCCTTTCCCTTTCCCCCCTCTCTATACTCCTTTTTTCACCCCCTCCTCTTACCTTCCCTCCTCTCCTCACTGATCTCGTATATTGTAGCAGTATTTCTTGTGAGGTATTGGTTGCATGTTGGAATTTGGCACTTAAAAGTCTGGAGGCACTTTGGAGTTTTTGATGAAGAAGTTGCTGGAGATGTTTCCTTCAAGAGATGAATTGGGTTCATCAAAATCCTTCAGTAAATAACATCTGGGGATGAATACAGGGGAAACAAATAGATTGTGGGCAAAAATATTGTACATCAGAATTGTTCTTTACTCCAACTGGAAGGAAAATGTCTTCTCTCCTTGGTGGCAATCTGGAATAAAGAAGACTTTATTTTAAAAGAAAATTTAAAAAAAAAAAAAAAAAAAAAAAAATTAAAATAAACAAACCAAACAACAATATAGTTGTAGCGTGGTAAGATTTAAATAATTTTTTGCCTATTAATCTATTTGAAAAACAAATAATGTATGTTTTTTTTTTTTACTTGATTTCCCCCCTTTCTTTCTTCCTCTTTGTTCTTGCCCTTCTCTCTCGTTGCCTTTCTTTCTCCTCTTCATCTATCTCCGCTTTCTTTCCCCCTCCTTTCCCTCCACTTCACCCTCTTTTCCTGCCCCGTTTTTCAACCTTCCCTTAGCCTCTTTTGCCACTCCCCACCTACCCCCATTTTTCACTCTTCTTCCCCTCCCTCTCCATTTACCTTACATCTTCTTTCTCTCCTTTCCTTGGCCCCTCAATCACTTCCATCTCCTCTTCCCGTTCCCCCTCTCCTCCTCTTCCTGTGTTCCCCCTCTCTCTCCTCCGTTTCTTTCACCCCCCTCCTCTTACCTTCCCCTCATTGCTCTCCTCTCCTCATTTACTCTCCCCTTCTTTGTACTTCCCAGTCTTCCATTGTCTGATTCTTGTTTTATTACTTTTTGTACATTTCTATTTTCTAATAATGAATTTTCCATTTTTTTTTTTTTTTTTTTTTTGTTTTTCATTTCTCCTTTGTTTGTCTTTTGTGTGGTTTAATCAGATTTTCCTTTTTTTTTCTCCTATCTTTAGTATAATGCAACAACTTTGCATGGTGGCAAAGGTCAAGAACAGAGAGAATTTGCCTTGGCCAGTCTTAAAGGTGGTACCAAGGACATTCTGGTGGCCACTGATGTTGCTGGACGAGGTATTGACATCAAGGACGTCTCTTTGGTTATTAATTATGACATGGCCAAAAATATTGAAGGTAACTCCTTTCTTTCTTTTTTTTTCTTTTGTGCATTTTTCAAATTTTACCCAAATCACAGGAAATACTCTCCAAATATCCCTGTAGAGAATTTGAGATCTAAATCTAAAGTTGGGGTTTTGTTTTAGTCTGTTCTTTTGACCTCAATGTTAAAAATTAGCGCATACTTTTGTCAATTTGTGACTCGGTAAAGTCGGACACAGTCATAAAATTGGGTGGTGAGTGATTTCATCTCAGTCTTAATTATTTTGTGTTTTTATGCCCTATGGTGACTTCAAAAGCAACCATCCACTTGACCAAAAGAGAATAAAATAAAAATAAGTGAAAATTTTTGGGGTCAAGTGAAAACAAACCGGATGTTGGAGATTTCCGTTTGTGGACCTATATTAATGGTCACAGTTGGGATTGAGAGTAGTTCTGGACTAAACTTTGAAGGTTTGATGCCACCCATTAGAGTTAGAAGACATGAATTGTGACATAGAGATGAGAAGATGGGTGGTAGAAGAATCTGAGTTCTCACTGGTTGAAGAGAGCTGATTTATTTACCTGATTTGGCAGAAGTTGTCACAACTGTCACCTACTTACCAACCCAGACTGTGCAAGTGAATCCCTGAAATAATAAAAACTGAATATATGGGAAACAGGATTTATGTTTCTGATTTCCCGCCATTGTTTGTTAAAAAATTTGGCAGTAACTGTGATGGTCTTTCATGGCATTCTTCTTTAATGTACAGTGTCATTTCAGGACCTGTGCGATCGTGGCTCTCCACAACTTCCTGTCTTCTTTTGCTTTGTGTACTTATTTTACTCTTTAACATCCCTCTTTGGCTCTCGCCTCCTGTCCATTTGCGAGAATGTGTTAAGTGATCATGTTTCTCCACAACTTCCTGTTTTTGTCTCTAAGTAGTGTTTGACTCTGTACTATCCTTTTTTGAATCTCTTCTTCTAATTATGTGATCATGGCTCACCACAACTTCTTGTCTTCTGTTCCTTTGTATAATTTTTGACTCTTTACCATCTATATTTATCCCTGCCATCCATTTGCACAAGCTAATTAGGTGATTGTGGCCCTCCAAAACTTCCTATCTCTGTCCCTCTCCTGCCATTCATTCATACAAACTTGTTAAGTAGATTACTCCCTGCTTCCTCCTATTTCAATGTATCCTGTTAGTATTAAATTCTCTAGGCTTTCTTTCCTCATTGTGTGTTCCACAAAAATCAATTTAGAAATATTTAGGTAAAAATGTTTTTCTTCTTTTTGAAATGAACCTTAATTTTACCCCCAGCACATGGACTGTTTTATATGACAATACCAATTTTATATCAAAATTTTTATTTGATCTTGGGTGCAAGGCAAATATCTTACTTTAAAATTCTGTAGGGCAATGGGTGTGCAGATAGTATAACAATTGTGGAATTGGCAAGCAGTGTTCAAATTCCAGTTTAATCTGAGGAAAGGCATGAAGCCATCTTTTCTACTCCTAGGTATAGACAATTAAATAGCAGGGTAGACAAGAAAACATGGGAAGCAACAATTTACTGATGGGAGGATTCCAACGGTCCTTCTGCATGGGAAACTGGCTACTTGTAAGAGGGCACAATAGTGATGTTATCTTTTGCTTCAAGGACGTCTGTAAAAGTGACATATAGGCAAGGACAGAGATTGGTAGGAAGACAACAATCGCTCATGCTGGAGATGTGATTTACACCGAGGGTTGGAGTGAGGAGAGAAGAAATGGAGGCTTGCTACTGGGGTGAAGCATACTTGAAGGAATGGAAACAACACCAAGACATTGAGGAAGAGCATCTTCACATGCATTAGTTTTAATTGAGACTGTCATGCCCTTTGTGGGCATGTACTGCCACGACAAATGCTGCACGGTCATCAGCGACTGAATCAATCTTTTAGGGTAAAAATCTTTGGTTCCTCAAGACCAGTGGATGCCATACATGTGACTGACCTTCCATAGCAATAAGTTTCAGAGTAAGATGACTGTGAATTTAAAACCATGTAGAAGGCAACAACAATTCACAGATAATAAAGGCAAAGTACAGAGCCAGGGTTGTCTACTTCGACATGGTATTTAAAAATTTAAAAAAACCCAGCAAAAACAAGATAATGGCATGGATAATGGATAATTGGTGTACATTAACTTTTGAACCTTAGTACAATAAAGGCTATCAGTGCCAATTATCCAAGCATGCATGCTTTCCTGAGAAGATTAAAAAAAACTGGGTTTAGGTTTCTTGATAAAAAAATTGGATTTAGGTTTCTTCATAAAAAAAATTGGGTTTAGGTTGCTTAGTAAAAAAAAAAAAACTGGGTTTAGGTTTCTTGATAAAAAAGAAAAAAGTTGGGTTTAGGTTTCTTGATAAAAAAAACTAGGTTTCTTGATTAAAAATAACTGGGCTTAGGTTTCTTGATAAAAAAAAAACTACGTTTTATAACAGTCATAATTTGAAAAGCTTTCGGTTTTACAAGGGAGATAAATCTAAATAAATATTCTGTTATTACCTCCCTTGAAAGATCTATATTTGATTTTTAAAATTTTTATTTAGTTTCATGATCTCGAAATAATACCAAGTGAAAAAGATTTTAGACGTCAACTTTTGCACTCGTGACGTGTGTTTGTTTGAGTTTCTTCATCTCGGAATTAGACAAAATTGTGTGTAAGGAAAATGCGTTGGAATTTTTGAGATAAAATTATCTTATCAGATTTGATAACCAGAGACCAGAAAGTGTTTTTTTTTTATATATATATATATATATATATATATATATATATATATATATATATATATATATATATATATATATTCGTTTCACCCCAACCAAGGGCGATTTTATTAAATAAATTTACTCTTTAGTATTTCAATATATTTTTTGTAATCTTGTTAAAATGAGATGTCAGTGTTATTTTCATTTTTGCATAATTTAGGTGATAATTTATCTATTACCCTCTGTGTGTTTGTGTGTGTTATAAACATGTTGGATTTTAACTTGTTTAACTTGTTGATTGATTTGACTTCTCTCCTTTTGCAGATTACACTCATCGTATTGGACGTACAGGTCGTGCTGGCAAAACGGGTACAGCCATCACGTTCCTGACCAAAGACGACAGCAATATCTTCTATGATTTGAAACAAGTCATCACGGGCAGCCCTGTATCGACATGTCCACCAGAACTGGCCAACCATCCCGAAGCTCAGCACAAACCAGGCAGCATGATGCACAAAAAGAGAAAAGATGAGACAGTCTATGTTAATTGAAGACACCCCCACCCCCCCACTCTAAGATTCATTGCATAAACCATGGGTACCGCTGTATTCATCTCCACGTTTTTTTTTATTTTGTTTTTCCCTCCACTTTATTTCATTTTGGTGACTCTCATTATTTCATAGATTAAAACAACTTTCACACCAGTTCCTTTTCTTTTTTTATTATTCAATCATTCGTTTTTATCAATTATTTCAGTTTTATTTATATTATATACCCTGAAACTAGTGTGCTCAGCTTTTGTTTAAAGTTTCAGTTGTTGTACCCTCTAGATTTATTCAGGAGTCTATTCTTGTGATAACAACAACAAAGATGAGAACATTAGTTGGATTGTAAATAGTTGTAACTCATGAACCCTGAAATTTGGATAGATATTTTATGTTTTGTAGTCTTAAAACCTTTTCTTGTGACATCTTAGGTGTGTGCAAAAGTTGTCTGGCATTATTAGCAAAAGGTACAGTTTTGATAAAGATAGATAAATTTATTTTAAAGATAAAGTTATGTGTACACATGACTATTTCCCAAGTTTCACAAGAGATTATAGGTTAAGTAAAATGATTAGACACAATTTAAAATTTTGATTCTAATGGTATGCCAAGTTTGTAACAAACAGTTATTTCTGAAGAAAGATTGAGGTCAATCTGAAATATCAAATATATATATATATAAATAAATAAATACTTTCATAAAAAAAACATTATTTTTAATTTTTTTTATATATATATTTTATATATATATATATATATATATATATATATATATATATAATGTTAAATTATATATTTTATATAAATTATATATATTATATTAAATGTATATTTTGACCCTATGTTAGGGACAGCTGAACTGATGATGCCTATGCCGACAATGATAAAATCACATCCCAGTGATTTTTTTTTTTTTTTTGCACATTCAGTTTACAATTTGCCTTTGTGTGATACTATGGACACCCACATAGGAAGTGAAGAGGTTGTTTTATCTCAGTCTCAGGTGTTTTTCTTTGATGGACAGCAGGTTCCTTTTGCTGTTCAGGTTTCTACTTTGGTTGTAGGGTAACGCAGAAGTAAATGTGGGGTTTTCAGGCAAAGTGGCAATGAAACCAGAAATAGGGAATATTCAGGTGCAGGTTTGTATTAACAGTCATTCTTGTGATCGGGGAGAGTTCTGGTCTGCCCTTGGTGGGTGATGGATATACACATTGAGCAATTCCAAATCCTCCCATTCATATTGTCAACTACTATGTCAGGATGAGTAGATGGCCAAGGAATTGATTGGTTAGCTGATCTGTTAGAAGAAGTTGTGCCAAGTTTCACCTACCTACCTACCTGGACAAGTAGGTGAAGCCCTGAATAAAACATCACCATATGATATGGGAAAGAGGGTGTGTGTTCTCAATGTGGTGTTTGTCTTTCTTTCATGTTACCTTGTGAGCATGTGGCACGCCCTTTTCCCACAGCTTTTGGTGCACACATGCGAGATTGAGGATTGAAATGCTACATGGTGAAATCATCAGCCAGTCAGTAGAAAGCTTTGATGAAGCCAACATTGTATGTTTACACTTGTACACTAAGACTTGTAATTTGTAAACATTTGACCTTTTGTACCTTTCATTAGAAATTCTGGTCTTTTTCTTTTAATGGGAAAAGAAAATAATAGAAAAGTAGTGAAGAAAAAGAGAGCATACTTGTATTTATATGCCCCCCCCTCACCATTTTTCCGCTGAATGAACAAAGAAAGAAACAAAAAAATTATAACTATAAGGTACCTTGCGACGTACTAATGGAGGTTGTCAACTTTAGGACAGTTTCCTTATTGGAAATAAAAGTAGATGAGCTTTGTCAGTTCCAAGGGCTTCTGACTTGATTTCTGAAGAACATTTTCCAGAAATAAGAAAATTTACTCCCAGCCATTTCAGAATGTTTTACGGATGTAAACAATTGTTTTTCAGCTATAAAATTGAATTACCCATTAATGTTCACTGAAATTTGCTATTACAAAAATTAAAATAAAAACTGCTATTATAGATTTCTTAAAAAAAAACTAGTATGTTTCTTAAAAATTGGTTTAGATAAAAAAAAAAAAATTGGGTTTAGGTTTCTTGATAAAAAACGGTTTAGATTTCTTGATGAAAAAAAAACGGTTTAGGTTTCTTGATAAAAAAACAGTTTAGGTTTCTTAAAAAAAATTAGGTTTAGAGTTCTTGATAAAAAAAAGAAACTGGGTTTAGGTTTCTTGATAAAAAAACGGTTTAGGTTTCTTAAAAAAAAAATTAGGTTTAGAGTTCTTGATAAAAAAATTGGTTTAGATTTCTTGATTAAAAAACTGGGTTTAGGTTTCTTCATAAATTAAAACTGGTATTTTAGGTTTCTTAAAATAATCTGATATTGGTTTCTAATAAAAAAAAGAAATCTGGTATTATAGAAACAAACAAGAAAAATGTATTCTTAGTTATATGTTTCTACCTATTATCTGTTAATGTGCACCATCTTATAAAATGGATATGTAAGCATTTGTTGTTTGAAGACCAACTGAGATAATTGATGCAAATTTCCAATTTTTCTGCTCTTTATAACTAAGTGCAAACAAAAAGTTTGGTAAAATCAAAACAACATTGAAAGAAGTAAAGTACATTTTGTATCATATGAAATCCTTATACAAATAATGCTAACTTAAATACAAATTCACAACTACTGTAAAAAAAAAAATTGTCTTGCATGTTAGAATTTTACTTTTTAAAATGATAAATATAAATATTTAAGGAAAGCTAACGTAATCTGTACAGTCATGACATGGGTCAAATTAACCCTCCGTTAGTACTATGGTGAATTGTCACTGCATTAGTACCGTGTGCTTTAGTAGTTTGATTTGGCCTTGTTAGTTAGATAGCCCACCATAAGAGGGGTATAAAACAAGAAAATTAAATTGTAAAGTTAAACAACAAATTTATATACAAATAAATCAATTAAGGTCTCTACAAATAAAATTAATACATTTTGCTTGATACAAGGTCGTCAAAATGTTCGTAGTAGTCCTTGCAAGAATGAGTTTATGTGTATGTAGGCAGGAACGTATGTGTGGATGTATGTATGAGCGTTATCGTAGGGTAGGAATGTCTTTGAGGTAAACGCTCAGTCTTAAAATGTTCCGTTCGTTTATCAAGTATAAAAGAGGTGAGGGAGAAAGGTAGAAATAATAATAACGTTCGCTTGACGTTTGTCAATGGACTTGTTAATACGCTCGTCTCCTCTTTGGTGACAGGCGAACTTGCCCGTCTTTTAATATAAATTAGAGACATGTCATAATAGATCATTCCATCTTAAATAAATCAACAATGTTTTGCGGCAATTTTTAACATCAACTTTAGATTTTTCTTAACCCATTTACCTGCCATGAGCCCCATTTGGTGATCTGTTAAAATTAAACTCACTAGATGTTATTCCTTGTATTTACATTGAATTGCTTATGTCGGAGTTAGCTCCTCCTTTAGTTCCTTTAACCCTTCACCAGGAGTCTCTCTCCCTTGGCTATAAATACGGGCTGACCCTTCGCCTCGATCTCTCTTTTTCCCTCAGGCCTTGGGCCGTTACCTCGTTACACCAATATGTAAGCTCTCACAGATACAGCGTTTCCCATATTCTGGGAACACGCTAAGAACAATACACGTACGTACGAACACTCACCACAACACACACACACATAATTTTCACCACACGCACTCAATGTGACTGTCCATGTACTTGTAACTTGTACTTGTTGTTAATATTAATACATATATTTGTTTACATATATTTATCGGTCTTGTTTGTCTTCGTTGGACTTAATTAAAGTCCAACTTTCTCATGTAGTTGAACCGGCTAGCAGGAAATTTTAACCCACGTGTATTCTTCTACAATACATACTCATCACCCCATGGTCCGCTACACTTACATACGTTGCATTTGAAGAGGTATATTTTACAACACTTAGCCTTTAAAGTTTTTATTATTAGCCGTAAAAAGACACATTCTGTCGTAATTTTACATTTCACGAGTAGAAAAATAATGACTATTTTGAAAAGTATTTTTTTTATTATTTCTAATCAATATTATTTTTTGATGTTTTATACACATATATATATTTGATGTTCTAGTTTCTATAAAAACGACAATGGTAACTACTGAAATTAAACATAAGGAATAAATAAACTCCTAAGACACCTGTCTGGGCCAAAAATGCGCATTAAAAAAAATTGGCAGTTAATGAGTTAATAAAATGTTGAATTTTATACATATTCAGCATTATGTATTAAAAAAAATAGTGAATTTTATATATTTATTTGTCAGGATAGCTTCTGGTTAAAAACCCTACCAATTTAAATATTTGTCAATTTTATGAATCGTTGAGTATGGTTTTCTAAATTCTGAACAAAAGGCTTGCGTCATATCCGGTCGGTACTCCCACATTAAAAAAAAAAAAAAAACAACCGGAAGAAGAAACTTAACCTAAAAGGACCGACCACGGTTGTGTAGCTGATTCAGCATAAAATGACATCTAAAACATCCGCCGTCAAGATGCCAGTGATCAAAGTGTAGTATCTGTTCCAGCAGCAACAATATGCGATAAATTGTCCTTTTCAGGACAACGCTCTTCACAGCACTACAAAAATGCCCCTTGTCAGGATAATGCCCTTCTAACAGTCTACATAAATATGCAGAAATCTTTTGCTTAGTGAAAGTCACCATATTTTGTCAATGTATTTTTTTTAACGACCATAAATTTGGCAATATATTTTTTTTGCTCAAGTCTTCGTTTTGCATGTTACTGTCTTCCGTCATTCAATAACTTTTTGCGGGCCAATATATCATGTCTGTGTCGAAATAGTTCGGATAATAGAAAAAATGTTTTGATGATTTCAATTCTTCTCTTCATCTCACGTCCGGATAATCGAAGACCGGATAACCAAGACAGTACAATATATATGCCTGCACTATCTGTCTATATTTCTGAGATGTGG